CTAAATAAGCTAAATAATAAAAAATGTGCAAACATAAGTGGTTTAGACAAATAGACATCATGTTATGAACGTGTATTTGGATCCATTCATAAATTTTTTATTTAAAACAAAGAGAAATTCTTATAAGAGAAGTTTGAAAAAAAAATAATTGAGCTCATACTTTCTTAAACACGCATTTTGAGATATGTCCCATTTTTTTTAACACGCATTACGACCGTTTTTTCAGAATAACAAGTTCACTAACGATCTTTTTTTTTTTTAATTAGAATCTTGAGACAGGCCGATGAACAAAAGAATAATTGTTTTAAAGAGAACGAATGCTTAGCTTGGGGCTGCAATTTTCTTTTTAAAGAAATTGACTCGACTTCGGTTAGTTAAAAGCTCACATCAAAAAAGAAAAAAAAATTTTGGTTTTATGATAATTATTCAGACTAATCTATAAACAAGATTCGTATAAGTATTATGACAAATATTTAAGCTATTAGTTATCTGACTTCATGAATCTCATTTGAACGTTTTTGAGCATATGTTTAACCGAACTAATGAAAAAAGCACGGAAAGTAATTGAAACTATTAAAAAATCGATATTTCTAAATGAATAATCACTATCCTTGCCATCAGACGCTTGTGCGCGTGAGGCATTGATATCTAGTACAACGGTTTTTACACGGCGTTACAATATTTTTTAAAAATCTAATTTTTGAAACTTAATTGCTATAAAATGTGATTTTAAATAAAGTACCTTTTATCATAAAGAGTAGATAATTACAAATCAGTTTGATATTCTTAATATTTTCCTGAAATTATACAGAAATGTGTGAATGCTCAGGGATTTTATTTTCATACCAATATTCAATTGAAAAATGCTTGCTCGTGATAATCAAATAAACATTCTTTTTATTCGATTTTTAGCCAAATTGACAATTTTTGAGAGGTGGCAATTGAATTTCATAACTGGATCCAATGCACGTTTTAGTATAACTACTTTTTTTTCATCATATCGGTACCTGTTCGTCAAACTAAAATCACGATAATAGGATTTCAAAAATTACGAAAAGTATGTAGAGGTTTGCCCTAGGGTTGTCTACGAGTTACACATTTTGAGTTGGTTCTATCTTTGGTGATTTGTTTTAGTTTCTCGCAGACCATGGGAACATTTCCGTATCGGTTTCCACGTCGACATGAACATAAATAAAGAGGAGAAAAAAATGGGTCCAAGAATGCACCTCCAAGACGAGAGAAAACCTTCCAACAACTCAACTTTGAAGTCAGACGTAACGAACATAAATACTGCGCTTGGGTTACTAAACTGCGCAGAGGGAGCAAATAAAAACGACAAGAAGTAATGGATTCCTCGATTATGGTAAACAAGCCTACTTTCTTTTAGGAGGTGTTAGTGTAACTCATAGCCACGACGGACTCGTAACCACAAGCTGTATAATTTAGGACATACTCGATGATACGTGTTGGATAACCGCTTAATGTGGGAAACGATTTGCTTTCCTTTTTTCGAATAATACGTAACAAGCAACTCGCACTCACTGCTTTTGTTCACTTTATCAAAAGTAAGAAGGATTATTATTTGCGAAAATATTTCTTTCAGCTGAATAATTACATAAATATGTAATTAAAGGCTAATATTGGTATTCTGAGTTTATTTTTTGAAATCTGTATATTAGAATATTCTTGAGCCTTATCGCTTTAAAATAAAGGTTAACTGCTTTCAAAAACTTGATAAATTTTAACAAAAAAAAGTATAATGAATTAAACACTTATTAATTTAAATTAGAGTTTTTACTTTTATGGATTTTTTTAATGATTTTTTAAACTGAATAATTTAGCAATTAAATAAAAATAAAAATTTATATTTGCCAATTAATTTATATTTGTTGCAATAGTTTTTTTAACTGCACTATTTTTGAATTTTCGGTTTCTGTTCAAAAACATCGTCTTACAAACAATCTCGTAATATATATAGAAAAAAAGCTGAAATAGTTTATTTTTTCTTTTAATCTGTTTTATTAGATAACCTTATATGCCTTATAAGAGCATAATATATATTATGCTCAAATATTATCTTATTTATACTTATTTTTACTTCAATAATATTTATTTTATACAAATTTGTATAATTCAATTTATTTTGCTTATATTTTCATATTTGTAGCTTTTAGTTGCTCTTTTTTTAAATTCAAAATTATTTTTAAAAACATAGTCTTACTGACAAATAGTTTCGCAATTTATCGAATAAAAGTTGCATTAGTAAACTTTCTCTTTAATATGATCATAATATCGAATTTTAATACATCCTAATTTTGATCACCGCTGTAATCGTGATTACAACAATTCTAGTAATCAGTTACTTGTAGTATTCATTACAAATTTGAGTGATTTTGTTTACTATTGTAATCATGATCACAAGTAATCGAAATATATGATCACATGTAATGTGATTACAAGTAAATATGATTGCAAATTGTATGTATGATTATGTTATACAATACAGATTGTACAATATATAGTACAATGCTACATTTTGTACGTATTTACGTACCACAAACGTAAGCGCGTATGCAATGAAAATGGATATGTAAATGCATGCCTAAAATTTATGTATGTGAGAACAATATAGACTTGTAAGAGTGCATGTAAATACAATGAATGTATATATTGTATGCACATATTTGTGTGCTCTTTATGTTTGTGTTAATATACCATGTTCGTGTTAGTATAAACAAAATGTACTTGCCATTGCTTGTACGAACATGCTTACATTGTCTGCACTATGTATAAAAGTACATACATAAATTGTATCACGTATATTTTACACATGTATGAACATACATGAATTGAATGTAATCTATTTTACGTAAGTATGTACACACGCATGTATCCGCATATGATGTATACGCATTCGTGTGTATGTACATGCAAATAAGGTGCGTAGTTATACACACACAATATAAGTACGTATGTACATGGGTCCGTGCAATGTATGTATGTGTAAGCAAACATTGCATGTGTATATGCATATACATGTACCTTACATGCACATATATAATAAATATGCGCATTCTCATATTGTAGAGATATACATAGAATGTGAATACATATATTGTTCATATGAGCATATTTTCATTGGATATACTGAAATTTCACTTCATTCGTACATACAGTTTTTGAGCGTGCATATTGTACACATGTACAAAACATATTGCACGCATGTATAAAAATGCATTGGATATACATATATTGTGCATCTGTAAATAAATTCATTTGATGTACATATAATGTTCAAATGTATAAGCTTACATGGAGCATGTATACATAGCACATATGTCATCCAAACATTATATATACATTTAGAGTGCTTATGTACATGCGTGTATTGTACATATACACATTGAATATGCATATATATTGAACAGATTCATATGTATGCATATATATGCATACATTGTATGTATTACCAAAAATTAAGAAGTGGTGGCAAACTGGTAATTTTAAAATACTCTTTTTTATTAATCAAATACTGTTTTTATTATTTGAAACACTGTTTTCATTATTTTTATTTACTAATTTTTAAAATTCCATTTTTTGAAATACAATTAAGTTAATGCACTTTTTATTCAAATAAAAATATTGCTGAAAATGATTAAAAGAGAAAACTAAATTCTTTTTATTCTTGTTTCAAAGCTGAAAACTAATGTATAATGCTGATTGTGGAAAAATGAAATTGCAAGGAGATGATGAAAATCAATTGAAACCAAACAAAATATTCAATTTCATCACACAAAGCATTTATCGATGATTAAAAGTTAAACAACTTATTTACATGCACGATTAAAGTACTTTTACAGTTTCTTTAAAAATTATAAGTCAAAATAACTTTTAAGAAAATCGTTTCAAATTTCACAAGTTTTAAAAATTTGCAGCAGCCTTTTGAATTAAAATTGACTTTAAATAAGTATCATTTAGAAAATCTGTAAAACAAGACTTTTGACTTGTGGTACATAAATTTGGGAACAAGAAACAATTGAGATAGTTTGACATCATGTTAAATGGTGTGCTTTTCAAAATGTTTTTTTTTTATCAGAAAATTCTTATTGTTTTCATTGTATTTCGTAGAAGCAGTATTTTTTTTTAAATCTAACTTGCTTGTAGATAATAGTAATAATATAAGACTTTTCTTTAACAATTGTATGAAAATTTCATAATTAATAATATTCCATATATAATGCTTTGATCGTATTTTTATTAAAATAAAAATAAGGATACTTGCTTAGTGGTATTAAACAAAAATGCTATTCATACTTAAAAATCTTCCCACATGCTAATGAGATTTTTTCACTATTTAATTTTTATGAATAAAAAACAGCTAATAAACTGATTAAATTTAAAATGTATATAAAGAATAAATCAAATTTTAAAATCGCAAACTATTAATTTATAAACAAAACGCAATTAATTGTTTATATTTTCAAACTTTTATTTGCATTTTATTGAGCTTGAGTGTCCAATAATAATAAAAGATAAATTGAGTGTCCGAAATAATAAAAAAAAACTAAGTTGAAATGAACGGATGAAAATTGTCTTCTTAAATTTGGCATTCTATTAATTTCAAAGGTAAATATAAATATACACACTTGTTTAAATCACTCGTCTTTGTGCGTATTCCAATTCTGTTGTTTATCTCGCTATATTATAAATCGAAAGAATGAACAGAGCACGACTTTAATTTCCTAAATTATCCTAAATTATACAATTAATTATGCCTCTTAAATTACACAATTTGTAGTTACATCCTCGAGATAACCTCTACATTTAAAAAAAAAATTAAAAAAATTGCAAGTCTAAAATTCCTTTGGTGCCTCGGCGATTGTCATTAATGCAAATTAAACGGAGACATCCCCCGGGCCACTGACCGAAAGTCCCTAAATTGTGTTCATTACAAATACAGAAATCTTTGGGCAAAAAAGAGAGATTAAAACAGTACTTACCACTTATTCAACTAATCCAAAAAGTGAAATAATTTTTTTTATTATTTCAACTCTCGCTTTTTCAAAGTTACTTTCCAATCGTTAAAAAAAAGAAGTAAAAATGAACAACAACGAAACATTCAGTGAACGAGGTTTAAAGACCCATTAAAAAGCGAGAATGATGAGAAATAAAACATCACAATCCATTTGATTCATTTAACTGTTAAAGGCAATGAGAACCAATAAATAAGGATATTTATGTAACCTTGATGTAACGTGATTACGCAATGTATACCTCTCAAAGTAACGACGAAATATCTCTGAGTGCGCAGAAAGAGAGAAACATGTTTAAAACTTGATGGAATAAAATTTCTTTCGACTATTTTTACACACTTTCAAACGAACGGAAGAATCCAAGAATTCCTTATAATCATTACAAAAATAATTTTTGTTACCATGAATCGGGGTCACTTTGATTATTTTAAATTTCTTGTGAAAAATCAGTTGGAGAAAGGAAAATAATAATTTAGTTTGAGGGAACACTCTTACATACAGTGTCGATTTATAGTCTATATATATAAAAATGAATGTGTCTTTCTGTCTGTCCTTTATAGACTCCTAAACCAACCGATCAAATGCTATGAAACTTGGCATACAGATAGTTCAAAGCACGAGGAAGGTCACTGTCGACATTAGAACATTCTGCGAAAAACCGTTCCAGCGGTTTCAGCGAAAATCGAAATGGAATTTTCTGATTGGTTAAAAGTTAGCCATTGTTTTAAATTTTGCTATAAACGGATTCAGTTTTCAAATATCTTGAAGATAATAGCAGTGATATTTTTTATCTTATAGCTCTATTCATTTAGAAAAGTAAATTACATATACTTTAATATTTAATAATAATTCGCGCAAGTTTCTTTATGTTAGGTGAGCAAAAGCAAGTAAAATCAACAAGAATGGATTTCTTAATTATTGGTCGTATCACGGATTTAGTATTGTGAAAACTGTTTAATAAATATCAAGGCAAAAGCAAATTTCATTCAAAAAATATCAAAATAACATTTAATTATTAATGATGTTTGAAATTCAGCTTAGCAGTATGACGTAATGTAATATTTGCTAGATTCTTGCACATGAGATTGCTTGTATTATTGCTATAATTTGTATTATTCGCGTGATATCATATTCTGTATTATTCCTACTTCACAATGACTGATGATGGCAAATTCTATTATTGAAGTTATACTTCTTATCCGACTTCCAACAAGGTTGCGTTAAACGTTCGCTAGATTTTTATTGGCCGGGAAATCACGTGGTAGGATCCAGTTTTCCCTCATTCATTTCCATATTGTTTTGGTTCTCACTAGCATAAGGACCTTCTATAAACAAGTT